ATTTATACATATTTTAAAGGGGCATTCAGGAAACACTTTGAAAGAAAACTCTGTTATCCGATGAGTAAACTTATGGCAAGCTTTTCCTTTTTGCCCTCATCAATAATTATGCGGCTCATCAAAATGCGATTCATGTACTCTTGGCTTTTCTGCTGCCAAGTTGAAAGCAGCTGGAATATTATTTTTAATCAATTAAGTTTTGTCAGGCGCGCCCAAAACTAAAACATAAATGATGAGCACGGCACGTGACATGTCTGCTTAATGCTTGGGCTTTTTCCCGTTCGCTTTTCCTTCGGCATCGCCTTTTCCTTATGCTTTTCCTCGTCGGTTTTCCCAGTCGCCAGCCAGCCAGCAAAACACACTAATTCAGAGGCACTCACTCGCTGGCATAAACATACAATGGCCTCGTTATCTTTGCCCATTTGGTCGCCTCATATTTACTTACATCTATGCAGTTAATAATTATGTCAGAGCCTGTAGCTGGGGCTTGTTTGTGTGGACTCACGCCTCCTTGTTATGAAATGCCCCTATTATATGCTCTGCTGCTTCTAATAATGCGCCCGTTGCTGTCATCTGCTGCTGGCCGAGGACAAAAGGCGAGTGGCAATCCTTATGGCCGGCGCTCCCTTCCCCGTTCCCCCTTCTCCATTTTCCCTTTCTCCCTTTCGATCCCTCAAGATGTGCAAACAAAAGCGCAGCGGCATTTAACTCGTATGTGTGTGTGTGTGTAAGCGTAGGTGTGTGTTTGTGTGTGTGTGTGACAGCCGTTGTCCTGTTGTCTGGCGAGCGGATGTGCGAGCATTGTGTTGGCACATCCGGTTACATTATGAAACTAACACATACACACACTCGTAGGCACACACACACACACTCGCACTCGCCGGCACATAAACTTAAATGGTTCGTCCTTTTTTTGATGCTGCAGCTGCTCCTGATGATGAAACCCGAACAGTGGCACTAAAAAGGACCTCGTCCTGATACGTGTTATAATAAGTTTATCAAAGGCTTTAAGCTTAAGCTGCACTATAACTTAAGGATATACAAGCTGTCCTTTAAAAGAAGTTCAAACACAATGTTTAGCTTTATATGTTACTATGAGTTTAATCTTGTTTGGGTTTTCTGTTCTTATAATATTTTGAAAATCTTATTGATAAGCAGTTCCACTGTTCACCTCTGCCAGTATACGCCATTTTTTCCACTTAGTCCCAACTGAACCCCAAGTTACTCCTCTTAAGTGTAACTACACAAGCTCACACGTTGCGGCCATAATTCATGGCTATTACAAGGACCTGGACAACAGGATGCTTTTATCCAATGCTAGTTAAAGATAATTTTGTGTGCAAGAAATCACAAACTATCCGTAGAGGTTACTATAACAAAAATGAGGACAAAAAAGCTACAGAGAATCTATATATGTCCTTAGAGATTCCTGGTTCCTGGTTCCTAAGCAGATAATTACATAAAAACGAATAATAATGCCCGAAGAGGAAAACAACGTCTCAAGAGCATCGACAAGAGCTTATTGACTAAATGTGTTAATGATTTTATAAATTGAATTGGGGGCTAGGTGGCGAAGGGGAGGGAAGTGAGGGAGCCAGGAAGCAGTCACCTGCACCAGGATGTCAATTTAAATAGCCGGAAGACAGGACCGGAGTCCGGCGGGACGTGTGATTTGTGTACGTGGAGCGGAAGTGGCTGCCCCTGATAAAGTCCAGGAAGGATCCCGAAAGGAGTTGCTCACGGGGCAAAGGAAGTGGATACCCTTAACTACACTAAACAAAATTACTTTTAATGGTGTAAGTAAGTAAATTAAAAGTTATATAGAAAGTACTTCTGTTATTTAAATTATCGTTAAAGAAATAAATGTTTTCAACTCAATAAAATTTATAAAACTCTTTTAGGTAATTTTCCAAGTGCAAGGACTTACTGCGTCAAGTGCAGCAAAGGATAAAGACAAGGGAAAATAGTAAAAGAAAGAGAAAATCGTTCGATGGCGAGACAACGGCAGAGTTATTAGTTTGGCAGGACACTAAGACAAATAGCGCTTATAAATAAGCCAGTGGGAAAAACAGCAGGAAGCAGCGGATGAGCCTCGAGCAGTCTTAGCCCCCAAAGCAAATATAAATGTAATAATGCGATAAGAACAATGGGGCGAACTATCCCAGGGCTTTTCTTTAGAGCAACGACAAGAGCCCCCCTTCGATTTCCACCAATCTATCTCAAATAGCTGAAGCGTGATTATGAGCAGCCTAAACGTATTAGGGCTCGGATGATTGGGCCTTCTCCTGCCATTCTCTTCGAGCGATAAAGCAAATGAAAATTGCGCTATTTGTTTACTTTGGCCAAGGGGTGTGGATAATACGTATACGAGTGTATATATCTATATATATCTATCTATGTGATATATGGCCGAGACATATGGCCAAGCCGTCTCTGGCTGACAGATGCTGCCATAGATTGAGCGTTCTGCAGATAATCTGCAGTCTCAGCAAATTTGCGCCACCGAATTGAGTTATCGCAGCGGCAATGACTGACTGAGAAGGATGGCTCGGGATTCCAATAGAAATTGTGAACTTTGTTGGATGAGATTACTGAGGAGCTATCGAGGAATCCTTATATAAATATACAAGTCTTGCAGATCACTGTCTTTTGAAAATGACTATTAATATTACGAATATGTTTAGCAAACAAAAAGAACGAGGCATTTTTATAACCGAATTTATATAGTACTTAATGAGCTGCTAGGAAAACCTACTTCTTGGTATTTTTCAGTTATTCCTGGGATTATTGATATTTTCTTAGTTAAGCTAGCAAATTGAAAACTTAAGAATTCTGTGGAGCAACAGATGTGTTCGTGGCTTGAAGTCGCGCTCAGCTGAAGCTTACTTGCTGTCATGGCCAGGCAAACATTGGGCCAACTGGCCCAGCTGCCCATTTGCTGGGCCAACCAACCTGTCCGGAAAGTACGAGTTACTATCCCTTAACCCCTGTCCCCAACCGTTCGCATTTCCACCCCTTTCCCTTTCCCTCCCCCAACTCATGATTCCTGTTCTTTGCTGTCCGCCGCAGATGCTACTCGCAGTTGCCGTTGCCTTTTGCCACTGCCTCTGCCTCTGCCTTTGCCTTTCCTTGCCTCATTTTCAATTGATGTATCTGCCGACGTTGTATTTTTAATGCGAGCAAGGGATGCGGGGGCGGTGGTAGTGGAAGTGGGCGTGGCTCTGTAACTGGCTCCGGTGGGTCTTTAAGCCATGTGCAATCATCGATGTGTCTGCTGCCCCCTGAATCCTGTCGCTGCCTTTGGCCCATATCCCTTCCTCTTTCCTGCCCCTCGATCTCCGATGGCAAAATGTGAACCGCATTTCCGTAAAGTCTGAACAACGTTCGGTTAAAGGGGAAAACGAGATGGTCGGGGGGACTTCAGACAACACTATAGCAACTATGGCACAGTGGTGTCCATTTTAAAGATGCTTTTTATTTGACTTAAGCATACGGTTAGAGCCTATAACTTAATTAAAAATAATCACAAAACATTGTAGCCCGATTTTAATGTGGCATACCTCTAAACGTTTGTGGTCAGTTTCTTAAACAAATTGCATTTAAAAATCTTTCATTTGAGGCAGCTCGATAGTTTTCCTTTTTCTTGCCAGTCCGTTAAAAATAGCCCCAATATATCTAACCACTGTGCAGAGCATTTCCGTTTCTAATGCGGAATTGCGAATGCAACAGACAAGACCCGGTTGGTAGAGGAGTGGAGACGTGGGAGGACTCACATCGACTTTGTCATTATAAATTGAAAGACATTTCTAGTCGCGTTCTTCCCCGCAACAGAGGTCCTTTCCCAGGGAAAGGACATCGAATAGGGATGTTAGGAGGGGAAGGCTCCTCCCCTCAACTTGGTGGATGCCGCGGGGTTAGCCGAGCAGCATCCTTGTGGCCCCGTCTCTTCTGAGGTCGACTGATGCGTTGCGATGCCTTTACCTAACTGCATCCGGCTGACAGTTCAGTTCAGTTGGATCCAGCTTCAGGCTGGCTTTTCCTACACTTTCCTCTCTGCCCGCGCGATTTTCCCACCCACACTTGGCCACCCGAGTGCGCTATCCCTAGTCCTGCTTCCTGTTCCCAACTCGGCAACATGTGTCGCTTGAAGGAAATTGAATTTTTATTAAAGGAAAACATTTTTATTGCAGATTATTTTCGTTTTGTGCCCGAGCTGATTGAAATTTCAACTTCCGCCTGGGGCAGCGACATCAATTGAATTACAAAACTTTTGACATTTGCTGGAAAAGTATAGCCAGGTTGTTGGTAATTAAATTTGCCAGAAATAGCTTTTGAAATAAAAAATGTAGGTAAGTTTAAAGCCAATCACGGCGGAGTTAGTAGTTGTTATAAGAAACACGTTTCGGAAAATGTTCTACTAAAACTGGTACGTACAAGAAAATGTTTTCAAAAATCTCTTTTGAAAATGTGCGTAGCTTAGCAATTCTGCAGAAAATTTAACAATCTTGTATTCATGGCAAAATAGTTTTACTCAACACGGGTTGCAAAGAGCCAAAGAAAAAGGCAAGCTGGGTCGACTAGAATTTTTTCGATTTTCCACTTGCTCGATTCGGTTTTCGCATTTTTCTTTCGCCTTCTGCAAACTCAAGCTCGACTTGTGCGCAATTTGGATTCAGAGCCACAAATTCACTTTGGCAGACAGTCTGGCCCTCGTTCTCTGCTCTCTGTTCTCCACAAAAGAACCACAACCCATTCCTCGGATTTTGTGGCTTTAAAATTATAGTCGGTTAGATTCGCAGGGATGCGCTGCGATGGCGCATAATATTGCAATGCCATCTTTTCAGTGCTGGCACAAAAGTCTGTAGGTTAAATGTCGTCGTTGTCGTTCTTGTCGTTGTCATCGGCCATTGCCACAATGGAAGTATTGAGTCATAAAATTTATAAAAGCATTTGCAATAAGCAAGCAGCCAAAAAAGAAATGCGACCGGGCGAGTACTTACCATTTTATCGATTTTCGGGGCTAGGTTTTCCCCTCCCAAAATCTCCTCCTCCATCAATCGCTTTATCTCTCTTTGGCTGGGAATTCAGTTTTGGACGGTTTGGTTCGGTTTTGGCCTGCAATGATGCAAATATATTTGCTGGTTGTTACATTCGGTTATTTTTAGTCGAGTTATATCATAGCATATCGCTAAAGCTGCATTTTCAATTTGGCAAAAGTTTAGTTTAATATAATGTAAAGTTTTTCTCTCTGATTTGTTTAAAGCTTTAAAGGTTTTTGAAGACTTATTAAAAACAAAAATTTTAAAACTAACAAAACTTCTTCATGTTGAACAGCAACCTTCCTTTTTTGCCCACATAAATTTGTAAGCTTTTGTTCCTTATTTTTTTTCTCACCCGGACACAGGACCGTAATTAAATTGGTGAAAAAATTAGCATATAAGCTGGAAACTCATTTATTCAAATTACACTCATTAAGGCGACTTAGAAACGTATAAAAAAGGTGTGTTTAAAGTATGTTTAAGTTGGCCAAGAAATTTGCAATTCAAAATTTTCGCCGGAGTGAGGGGGGAAAACTATAAAAAGGAGGAGAGAGCCCAGGAGGGAAACTTTGCACTTTTGTTTGCCGTCACGTGCACTCAATAAACTTTGAACAAATTTGCATTTGCAGCGGCTACAACAAAAGAGCTGCTCTGGACAGTGACACGCCCATCCCGCCCATTCCGTCGGCACCTACACATCCTTGCGTATCCCTACACATCCTGGCACTCCAGCGAGGAATCTACAATGCGTTTTTCCTGCAGGAGATCGACAAAAAGCGTCGCGTTGAATTTCAAAAGGAGGAAAGGAAAGCGGAAACAAACTTGAGCACACAACGTCCATTTCCTGTTTCTGTTTGTCCTTGCTGCCGTGCCCTTGTTTTTCTGCTTGTTGTTGCTGTTGCTATTGTTGTTGTTGTTGTCCTTGCCCATTCGCACATCGATTCGGCTTGATTCAGCTCGATTTGCAACGGCTTTTGGCACAGATTGTGTTGAGTTTTGTTTGGCATCGTTGGACTCCGGTTACCGCAGGTCCTTCCACCGAATTTCACATTTTTTTTTGTTGGGATGCGAACGCCCGTTACGGGAAAATAGCCCTTAGGTATATAGTTCTCCAGCAGCGAGCTTACATCCCATTTTCCTTAAGGTTTTTTGCAATCAACTCGAACAGGTAATGAAATGTAAATCGAAACATATACGCATTAAGTTGGATGCATTGGCAACTGCCAAGAAATAAAGAAACAGGAAATTCTAAGAAGAAATAGAAGCATCCAGGAATTCTGCACTGAAAAATATTGTACTTGGTTATGCATTGAAGATAAAATAATAGTGAAATAAATAGAATGTTTTTTGTGACGTTTTAGGTGAGCAAATATGTTCCTTTTTTCATGTTTACCTTTATAATTAATTTAAAACTATTTTTGTTTGTCTTCTCACTTATTTTATTTACTTTTTCTGTGTACGATCTGTGCACATAGCTGAGTGGCACACAAATTGCCGACCATCTTATTAACATGAGGGGCAATGAGGGCAAACAACGAAATGTGCAGGTAAGCCAACCAAGCGAACCACAGAAGTCTGTCCGATCCCAAAGGCATCAACGGCCAACAGGAGCTGGCTGAAATGACGTGGGAGTGAATGTGGGAGTGGGATGTGGAATGTGGAGGAGTATCATCAACAATGGGGCGGAATCCGAGGGGAGAATGTGGGTGGAATTGCAGAGGTGCACAATTTTCCAACTGCAAACGAAAGCGAGAAAATTACTTTTCTTCTTTTCAGCAATTTTGTTGCTTCTTGCAATTTATGCAAAAGTCAAATGTTGATTTGTGGCTCAAGGGGAGGAGAAAGAACGGGGTGTCGGGAATCCAGGAGAACCAGCAGCAGCAGGAGCAGCCGGACCACCTGGACCAGGGCACAGACCACATAATGCAGAACCACCACCATATTGATTTAGTGCGGTCCATGCAATCTCCACTGCCATTTCCCATTTGCTTGCCTCCGGTTGAACTTTGCTACCCTTTTGCCATTGCCTTTTGCCATTTTCCGGTTTCCCCATCGAGTGTACGAGTGTGGGTTATTTTAAAAATTTGTGCTCCTACGGCTTGTGAGCGGGGAAAAGTAGTTGGCTATTTGCATAACAATTGGCTGGGAGCCGGGCAAACGAGCAAACAACTTTAGTTTGATTTGCCGAGTGCCATTGATCCGCAACATCATTATGATGCTCATCTCCGGCTCTTAGAGACTCCAAGTGGATTTGCAATTGTTTGTCAGCCCGGGGAGCTGCCTCAATTAGTTCGTCTCCGATGTACCGAGTTATGCCCTTAAAGATGGCAAGCCGATATCCCTGGAAGCTGCCCCTTCCGACCCTTATTAAATTGACTTACCCCCCATTTTAAGCTCTATAAATTGCCAGTAATTCGAGTCCCCTTTTTATATAGTTCACTTTCTTAACCTTTTTTCCCCTGGCTTTGGCGCCAACCCGTCTCAAGTTGATTGAAAAGTTACTTTTTCCTACCTTCCGAAGGGGACTCCATTTAATGTCCAGGAACCTTCCGCTTTTCCATTTGACATTTTTTTTCTTGCGGCCAAATGGGTTTTTGTGCTTAGTCAAGTGATCAATATAAAATGGAATTGTCGAAAGTAACCTAAAAGTCAATTTCGCTCAAGCAGCATAAATTATGCAACGAGGCTAATAAAATTGTTATATTTTTGGAAATTTATTTGTGCACCTGCCTTTAAAATTCTTCTGCTTTTGTATTTTGTTAGTGAACTTTATGATTGGCATGCAAATTCTGTAAAAATATTTTGGCCATGCAAATTGAAATGAATAACCATTAAATTTGGGAAGAATGCTTTAAGTGCTCCTTTGTATGGATGTTTGGCATTGGACCCATAACAAAGTTCATTACTCGTATGTCAGACTGTCAATTAAAGGCTTTTGATGGGGGTTGAATAAACGATTTTCTATTCTCGGAATCTGTGGAAGATTTCAACTAATTGAAACTGTTTTGAGCAGCTGCCGGCAGATGTCATTCGAACAAGGATAAAAGCAGGCCAGAGCCAGTCTCGAAAGCAATTGCCAAAAGCGCTTTAAGACAATATTTTGCCAGCGAGGGCGGCACTCTGGGTCGAGAGGTTATTGGATACCCGGAGTTCAGAGTTTGCTGAGGTCAGCTCCAGCTGAGGGCACCAAAGTGAGCTCAGCTCCGTGCTGCCAAAATCTCTGTGTGCATTGGCAATCAGTGTTAAATAAACGAGCAGGCCAAGTGCCACAGACAGGAAGAAGGACATCCATCCATCCATCCAACCATCCATTCGTCTGGCGACGACATGCAAAATGCATTGGGACTTCGAGAGCCTGCCAGCATTGATGAAACTTGCAGGAGGTCCTCGGTCCTTGGAGCAGCTGATTGATTCCTGCCAGAATGGCAGAGTTCCCGAAATGCAGAGTTCCTCTAATCGCATTAGAGGGCTAACTAGTTAATATGCACGGACCCTGGGCAGGGCATTAATTGGTTTTGCTAGCTCTAATTAGTTTGGAAACGTGGCCACATTGTCTTGGCCTTATCAATGCCGCACACTCTCCACTTGGCCATTTCTTCATTAGCAATGTCTCGGGCTTAAGCCGGCATGTCGACACATTCATTAGGCGATTATGTTAATTTCCCAACCTCACACATTTATCTTGAATTTAATTTATGTGAAGCTGGCTACACAAGAAAAAATATGTATTTAAAAATTTAAAATTCCCTGAAGGAAACTTTACTTTAACTTCAATTGAAACATAAAAGCTCACTCTTTCTTCCTCTGTATCAATATATCAATATACAGCTTTGTTGCACGAAAGCAATAATCATCAGGCCATAAATCCCTGGAAAATTAAGTAAGCTTAAATAATTTATCTTGAGGTTTGATTTTGGGACATATGCAAATCATTCGAAGAAAGTCAAGCTTTAACATTTATGCCAAATTAATTGCCTCGAAAAACTTGTAAAGTTTTCGGAAAGTTTCCAGAATCTAATCAAACTTGCCGTATTAGACAAATGCAACTCGGCTGTGTCAGCATAAGCTTATGAACTCCATTCCAACCACTCAAGTTGATGATATGGCACTTCGGAGCCAGGAAAACGGCGGGGAAAACTCAATCAATGACGGGTGGAAATAAGGGGAATTTCTCATTCGCTGTCGTCACCTAGAACATAGAAAATGATGTGTCGAAAGCCTGAACCCAGCGAATATACTCGTATATATATATAGAAAAAAAAGGAGAACTGCCAGCGACATTGACAAGATGATGCGATGCGTCTAAGGTTAAAAGCAGAGAAAAGGAGAAGGATGAGCGGGATGAGTTGATTTATTACAGCCCGATAAGGAAGCGAGGAGGAAGTGGAAGTGGAAGGGGCGGCAGATAAGCCGGGTCCTGGCAAATGCAATTGGCAGGCATTATGGGCAGATAAAAGCGCCAGAAAGGACGAAAGAGACTTCATCAAGCTGAGTGGCTGCATTGCAGTTTTAATGAAATTTCTGCCAGAGCGGCAGCGACATAAATCAGCCAAAAAGGTGAACTTAAAAATTTACATAATAAGCGAGAGAGAGAGAGAGAGCCAAAAAATACAAAATTCCGAAGTCGGGAAAAATTCATATTTATATGTATGTCTAAGGAAGCGGTGTGGAAACTCCATTAATATTGTGCGCTCGCTCAGGTGCCTGAAGTTTTCTTCGATAAGATGAAAATGCACTCCCAGTGGCTGCTTTTCACAACTCGCTTTCCATTAGGGTTTCCTATTTTGCTGCTGCATATTTTAAGCTTTGCTTTTTCTCTCGTTTAAGTTGACATTTTGGGAATATACATACAATCTGACGCTAAGCGGCATTGGATAAGAGTTTTTAAATTTTTATAGCTAACAGCCGGCAGCAAATAGCAAAAAGAAATGCACTTGACGAGTAATCTGAACTCATTTAATAATTTAAGCTGCAGAAAAACACACTTCAAAATACAACCATTTAATAATTAAAAGGTCCTCTATTGAATTTCATGGCTAATAACAACAACCAGCGGAAAGTGAACAACTTTCGACA